CCGTAACTCCCCAAAGGAATCTGTAACTCTTGGTTTACGGAATGAAACAACGGCGTCATTCTTCCTCAAGTTACGGGCAGTCAAGGCGAGTTACGACCGTAACTCACGGATTCTCAGCCTATTTAAAGGCTGCTTGAGAAATTTGCAAAGGATCCAATTTTTATGAGTTCCAAAGGCAGGTAACGAACCCTAGAGAGATTGACGAAGAGAAACCCTTGGGCAAGGATTGGAGCGATGTGAAGACCTCGGAGCTCGATTCCTAACCTCGGAGTACCGATTAGCCACCAGGAGAAGTTGCTCATTGTCGTTCTCATGATGTCTACTCCGAGCATGACGTTCTCACATCTCTCCATGGAGTAATTTTTCCTTTCATCTGGGTATGAAGAACCCTAGATGTGTGTGTTAGGAATGATTGTATGAACCCCATGTTATGAATGATTGATTTGATAAATTCAGTTGAGGAATTATTCAGAATTGCATGCATCCTGATCAAACCTGTTTAATTCCGGCTTTAACCTAGAACGATAGTATTTGCACAGGTAAAAGAGCAACCTTTAATTGGAAGTGGTGAATCGACTGCTTTAGTTGATAAGTCGATTCACTTCTCCGTACTGGAACAAAGTCCAGTAGTGGAAGTTTCGTGTGTTTAACCTTGGTTAGTGTATGTCGATGGAGGTTATGTTGGTCCTATTGGCGGAGACCTTCACTTTTTCTGTTCTTGTCTCTCTCACCTGCAGCTTCTGCAATCTACGTTATCTGGTTTTTTTTAAAAAGAATAGTTTGGGATGATAAAAGATGGAAGTTTTGATCTAAACAATCACCCTAACAAACTTAGAAATGTGTTTTTGTTGTTAGTAGAGAAATGCAAATGGGCCACTATGGATGATAAGCCCACAAGATGAGTTAAATTCGTTTTTGAAAGAGCCCAAGCAAAGACGAGTTTTAAAGTGATCAGTAGGCTCACTTTTACTCTGATTAAAAAGGAAGCAACCAATTCCAAACGGACGCATTTAAGTTCAACACCAATTTAGTTTCCTCTTTACTAGTTTTTCGATCGGCTTAATTGCAAGTTTGGTCACTCGAATTGCTACAAAATTTCACGTTTGCCACTCAAATTAATTTATTCTATTTATAGTCACTTAAATTAGTTTAACAGTTCAAGTTTGGTCACTGGCCGTTAGTCTCCGTTAACTTTTGCTGATGTGGCGGTCAACTTTGAGAGTTGACCGTTAAATAACTGACGTGTCTACTACAAAATAAAAAAATAAAAAATTTAATTTTTTTTTTAATTTCCACCTCATATCTATAAATTACAATAAAATAAAATAGAAAAAATAAACTAGGGAAGGAAGACGGTCATACGTCGGCCGCGAAATTCGTCGGCGGCTGCTACGATTCCCAGGAGGAGACTTCTTCTCTCCGCCCCAACTTCAGGCGTTCCTGCTGCGTGACCGGGGATAGACTTTGTCGGCGGTGAAGTCCAGCTCCTCGAGGTTAGTCTTGTCCAATCGATTCCTCTTCCACAAAGGGGCCTGATGGTTTGATGCAGATTTCACCGACAGTCGACGAGGGCGAGTTCGGTTTGATGGGACTCGACGAGGATGATGAGGGCGGCGGTGGAATTGACTATTGAGGGTTTGCAAGGAGAGAGGGCGACTATAGCGAGCTTCTGAAGTATCTGGGGGTAGAAGGGGTTTTGATGGGGACGGGAAATGGATCGAGATGAAAAGATACCGATTCGAAAAAGGATTCCGAACAAGGAACAATTCCGCTGCCGACGCCTCCCGGCGGATCTCGACTGCTTCGAATTCCTCGATCTGCTCCGACAAAGGGTGCTGCCGGATCCAGTTACCTGAGGGATTGAAGACGATGGACTTCGGGTTGGGCACTGTCCGAAACCACAACAAATTAGTCCTAGCCATTTTGCAACAACTGAATGCAATCCGTCGCACCCTATCAGAACCTGCAATTACCATAGAAATTAAGAAGGTCATTAGTTGGCTGGCTGCGAGGATTTGGAGGAACATAGGATTTGATAGACATCTAGGGGGAACGAACAAAAGGTCTCTTACGAGAAAGCTCCGGTGAGAGAGATTTGCCGGACTGCGCCGGTGGCTACATCGGTGATGGAGCTGGTTGTTAGAGGAGGGTACAATGGAGTGTGCTTGTGGGATACTCCCAAGGCCTCGAGAGCAATCTGGGCGTTGGGGAAGAGTTTCAAGGCGGATCCGGTGGTTTTGAGGCACTCTGCCTTCTCAATAACCAGAGCTCGCATCCCAACTAGCTTCATCGCCAGAGCCGGCAACAGGCCTGCTATCTCGGGCAAGGCGGGTGCTGCGCGCTCGAGGACACGGTGGTTCTGGGGAGGCACATTGGGAACTCGTTTGTGGCGAACGGGGCCGAGAAGTCATTGGTGGCGGAGGAGATGGGAAGGGAAGGGAAGGGAAGAGGAAAGGGAAAGGAAGGGAAGGGAAAAAAAATTGATCCGGTGTAAAATGAGTTGGAAATAAGAAAAATTTAAATTTTATTTTTTATTAATTTTTTAATTGCCACGTCACTTATTTAACGGTCAACTATTAGAGTTGACCGCCACATCAGCAAAAGTTAACGGAGACTAACGGCCAGTGACCAAACTTGAACTGTTAAACTAATTTAAGTGACTATAAATGGAATAAATTAATTTGAGTGGCAAACGTGAAATTTTGTAGCAATTCGAGTGACCAAACTTGCAATTAAGCCTTTTTCGATCAAAACAAGTTATATGCACAACTTCGGACGAAGAACAAAGCATGAGTACAAAAACAGAGTATGCAGAACTGAAATGCAGAAATAAAAGAACACAAGCAATTTTTACGTGGTTTTCGCAACACTGACTAGTCCACGATCGGAGATTCACGACTTTGTGATCTCCGACGATCTACTAAGGATATGTCTTTGACGCTCTTTGGTTTATAAATGAACAACCCGATATTTCTCAGTACCGTCACCTCGATTAACTCCCCATCAATCGAAACCCGTGTATCCCAATACGTAACCCAAGCTATCTAACCTATGCTTGAACCAAGCAACTCCCCATATGCTTGAACCCCTTTCCTACCAAAACACTCTTAGCAAATCCCGCTCTCTAGTATTTTGATCTCCCGGAAAGGTGCCCAACCTAACTAGCCAGAAGCCCTTTTATACTCTTACAGAATCTGGCCGTTGCATATTGAACATTTTTCCATGTTGAGTTTATTCCAAATCTTCCCCATAAATGGTAAGCATCTTCATATTTGAATCCTACTTGCCATTTGCTTGCTTTTCTTAATCACCAAAACGATGCACCCGGAAAGCCCTGCATAACAGGCAAGTTTCTCTTCCATACACTACATAAGACCTTGTTGCTAATAACACGTTTCTCCCAACAATCTCTCCCTAAACGTGATATTAGATATAACTTGACTCAGTTGTTGGACATATGACCAAGGTTTTCTAATGACAAGTTTTATTCCAACAATCTCCCCCTAAACTTGATATTAGCAATGCTAATTATGACATGACAGTGTTGGATATAAGGAGGCAACATTACAGCCTTTTGATCAGTTAAGATAAAGTTCTAGAGTTTACTTTCATTTGCTTTAATGGAAATAGTGACTTAAAGACAACTCATATTCAACAATCAATTTGTTGGATTACTTAACATGCTCTTCCTAAATTCTAGACTCGTGATCTTAAAATGTTAGCAAAGTGACATAAACACCAGCATTCTGTTTTGCTCCCCTTAAAGCTGATCCGTAAGAAACATCTTGGACTAAATCCTTTTCTTTGATCAAAATCACATAAAAACTAAGTTTATCCATATTTCTCCCCCTTGATTTTAAGCAAAGAGACAATAGAAGACATTAGACATGACTCATAGATCGGCACAACAACTCATTTGTAAGAATAAAATCATTCAAGACCAAATGCATTACTAATACTGTATTGAAAATAAGCCAAAGCATAAAGATCAAAACTCAGAACCAATAGTTAATCACCATATGAGTAAGACAGAAAATATCAGCAAGAATCAACAATCAAATCATTAAAATCCAGATATAAAACATAGAGAATTCTAGTCAGTCTCCCCCTAAGATCAAGCACAATCCAACCAATCCTAAGAGTTATCGTGCGCTAGCAGCATAAAGAAAAAAATTGCAGCAGAAATTTAACGTCTTACTTAACATATGGTAGGAGCTCTCATTGTTGAGACTTGAGAAGCCTATGGCTTCCTTCAGCTCCCAATCGCAACTTCTGAAATCTCAAATATCATTTTGTTTTTGAACCCAAACTTGTTTGAGTATGGGTTTCCAATGCCATGAATACCGAGGAATAGCTTTATGACAATTTCTACTAACATTACCAGGTTGTAAGCATGTAAAACAGTTTAATAAACCAACCTTGTTATAGCTATTATTACGAGATTGATTAGGTCTAAGATTGGTCTTCTTCTTATCACAATGCAACCTGTTATGCATATGCTTGTGATTGACGTTCGACGTGGAATGATTTACTCTTCTACTAACAACCTTAGCATAATGGAACCGTGATTGACTTGTAAGGTGCTTTATAACTTTGTTAGGTTCTTTAAACGCTGACATACTGGTTGTTTTGCCACCAGAGGAAGACGCATAAGATGATCTATGTTCTAACAACTTATATAGATGATTCTTGTCCATTCTAAGGACCTCATTTTCACGTTGCAGCTCAACAATCTTAATGATGTTTAACTCTGTGGTTCGAGTAAGGTTGACGACATCAGCAGTCTTTTTATGAACCTCTTCCTGAAGACAACAATACTTAATTTTTAAGCTGCGACACTCATCTTCTAGGTTTTTCAAGGCAGACATGAAATTTTCAGAATTTACCTTGGATGATTCGGAGGCTGACTTTACCTTGATAGTAACTGTTTTAAAAGAACGTTCAGCAGTTGGTCTAGAAGATTTACCTTCAGGATCCAAGGAGAAAGCCATGAAGGCTTCTTAATCGGCATGCTCATTCTCTAACTCAGATTCATAGTCACTCCATGAGGCCATCATGACTCTTTCTTTTGCCTTAAGTGTCAGGGGGCAGTTTGATCTGATGTGTCCACTCTTTCCGCATTTGTAACATGCTTGTGGATCTTTATTCTGCAAACCTGCACTTGTTTCTCTGGTCTGCTGATAAGGCAATCTATCTTGAATAAATTTGTCACGCTCAAAAGAATTTGCTTTATTCGAATTAATTTTCTTTAGTTCATTCTTATATTTTAACATACGATGAAACTTCTTGCTAGTTAAGGCAAATTCTTTCTCAAAATTAGAATTTGAATCAATATCATACTCAAAGTCCATATAATGAGTTTTAAAAGATAGACTCCTCCGACGTTTATCATCGTCTCTACCTACCTGTTCTATGACGGGTTCATGACTAAGCAGTGAACCAATTAATTCCTGTATAGACAACATTCTCAGATCCTTTGCTTCCTTAATAGCAGTGCGTTTGGGCAACCACTCTTTTGGCAATGATCTGAGAATTTTCCTGTTTAGGTCTTTTGATTCAAATGTTCTTCCTAGCCCGTTGAGTTTATTTATATAAACAGTATATCTGGAATACATTTCCTGAATGGTTTCGTCAGATGTAAAGGCCTCATAATCATGCATAAGTAAATCGATACACGTATCTTTTATATTAGAGGTACGCTTTCCAGGGAAGTCCAGATATCCCTTGCCGTCTCGCAATGCTCGACCTTATCGACTTCCTCCGGCAACATTGCCGATTGAAGCACATGCATTACGCGCTGATTCAATTGGGCGTTCTTTATCTGAGCAGCGCTCCATTCCGATTGATCATCGACATCCATATCGAGAAGACCATTTTGCACAACAAGCCAAAGCTCATCATCTATTCCCCAGAGGAAGGTCTTCATGCGTTTCTTCCAGGAGGTGTAGTTCGCGCCGGTGAAAATTGGAGGCGAGTTCAACGCCCTATGCCCAAAACTTGACAACGCCATGGATCCTCGCTCGGCAGCAGTAAGCTTCGATCAAGCGCCGGCTTTGATACCACTTGTTGGTCCTGTTGGTGGAGACCTTCACTTTTTCTATTCCCGTCGCTCTCACCTGCAGCTTCTGCAATCTACGATATCTGGGTTTTTTCAAAAGGAATAGTTTGGGATGATAAAAGATGGAAGTTTTGATCTAAACAATCACCCTAGCAAACTTAGAAATGTGTTTTTGTCGTTAGTAGAGAATTGCAAATGGGCCACTATGGATGATAAGCCCACAAGATGAGTTAAATTCGTTTTTGAAAGAGCCCAAGCAAAGACGAGTTTTAAAGTAATCAGTAGGCTCACTTTTACTCTTATTAAAAAGGCAGCCACCAATTCCAAATGCACGCGTTTAAGTTAAACACCAATTTAGTTTCCTCTTTACTAGTTTTTCGATCAAAACAAGCTATATGCACAACTTCGGACGAAGAACATAGCATGAGCACAAAAACAGAGTATGCATAACTGAAATGCAGAAATAAAAGAACACAAGCAATTTTTACGTGGTTTCTAGTGTTGAGAGAAATAGAATCTCAACACTGATTAGTCCACGATCAAAGATTCACGACTTTGTGATCTCCGAAGATCTACTAAGGATATGTCTTTGACGCTCTTTGGTTTACAAATGAACAACCCGGTATTTCCTAGTACTGTCACCTCGATTAACTCTCCGTCAATCGAAACCCGTGTATCCCAACACGTAATGTAAGACTTCCTTACACGCCCCCCTCAAACGAAAGCCGACTATGGGCTTGAAGTTTGCACAGGCCCGCAATACCATGTGTTTGAAAGACAACGTTTAATATTGGGGGTCGTGAGGACTTGAACATGTGACCTCACGAAAAAATTAGCTCTGATAACCATGTCATAAACCAGTTGGTCCCAATAACTCGAGTTGTTGGGAGAAGGTTATGTTGGATTTTATACAGGTCCATGTATGGTACTTAACCACTTCCTTACACGTAACCCAAGCTATCTAACCGATGCTTGAACCAAGCAACTCCCCGTATGCTTGAACCCCTTTCCTACCAAAACACTCTTAGCAAATCCCGCTCTCTAGTATTTGATCTCTCGGAAAGGTGTCCAACCTATCTACCCAGAAGCCCTTTTATACTCGTACAGAATCTTACCGTTGCATATTGAACATTCTTTCCATGTTGAGTTTATTCCAAATCTTCCCCATAAATGGTAAGCATCTTCATATTTGAATCCACCAGCTACGGGAAGTTCCTTCTTTTAGTTAACTTGTCATTTGCTTGCTTTCCTTAATCACCAAAACAATGCACCCGGAAAGCCCTGCATAACAGGTAAGTTTCTCTTCCATAAACAACATAAGAACTTGTTGCTAATAACACGTTTCTCCCAACAGGTTAGTCGCCCGCCGCGTATTTGAATCAAGAGGGTCTGGATAAATTTAGTCGATAGTCCAGACTAGTAAAGAACTTCTCGCGGTTTATCTATCAATCTGGGTAATTTGGGATCGTATAACCTGAACTAGCTGCACACTAGGGGGAACCACACCTGGATGACCTTTTAAACCTGAAAAGAACCAGACCATTACTTGCTTTTGTTTCTTTTGTACTAAAATCATTACACTAGCTTAGTCCTGCTAGATTATAGGAGTTCACTGAGTAGGCAGTAGATCTAGAGACCAGTTTGATAATTAGACTTACCACTATTCTGCATTTCCACTATGAGATTATACTTGGTCGCAGTTTGATGTTGTGTTGTAGAGTGTCAAGTTTTTGGCGCCGTTGCCGGGGACGCCTCTAGATTATTGGAGAAACGTGAACATCTGTTACTTTAGCATTTATTTTTGGGCTAATACCACTGGAAATACCAACCTTTAGTAAAAGTGTCATTTATATTACGTAAATTCAATAAATACAAAAACATTCCAACCTATTAGATGTTTGTGTCATTTGTGTTACGTGAATTTCTGTTGACCGTTAGAACTAACGGTTGACCTAACGGCGGTCAACCTTTGACTGACCACTGATAAAGTGGCGCTTATGTGTTGTCCACATAAGCAACACGTAGATGCCACGTAGGAAATTAGATTTAACATTTAAAATAAAATATATAATAAATAATAAATATTTTAAATTAATTAATTTATATATATAATATTTAATAAATTTATTTTTATTATATTTTCTCACCTGTTCCCATCTCTAATCTCCATCACTCGTTCGTTGATTAGAATGCCCAACGCAATTTGGGGATTAGGGTTTGGGGGTGGAGATTGTGAGATCCAATTCGCCCTCCAATCTTCCCACCTGTATTCTCACCCCTACTCTCACCCTACCATTATTCCACCATCAGTTTCAGTACACCAGAACAATAACAACATCAATGAAGCGCCGGTTTGTATAACAGAGCCTCTGCCGGCTCGATTTCCCCGTCAGCGGCGACAATATCCGTTCGTTCGCCGAACAGATCGTGACTCCCCTATTCCCGACCATCCGAGCAAATTACGACGCCCACGTGGACATCTCAGACCCTGATCTGGCACACATCGTGGCAATTGATTTCCTCTTCTTGGTCGAGTTGCTTCTGCAGTCAAATGATCGGACCCTGCTTAATTGATGAACGGCGTCGGGATGCTCGAAAACCAATTCCCCATCTTCTCAATAATCGATCGCATCAAATCGATAACCACCGCTGCTAATTTCTGCAACCAGCAGATCTTGTTTTTGAGAGTAGGTGGGTCAGTTTTGCCGGCGAATTTCTCCCCTACAATGGACGACGGAGAAGACAGTGTTGCGGGAGGAGCAGCGGCGGCGGCGACCTCAGCATTTGTTGGACTAGTTGTAACTTCAATTACTGCTGGATTAATGAAAGCCATGGATTCAACAACTGGGAAGCTAATTCGTCTCGGTCGATGTCGCCTCCTGAAAGAAGTAGCAGAAGCCCCCCTCATGCTTGACCTCGGAATCAGCTCGATCGCCTCCACCTCCCCCTCCACTTGATTGTCGATTGATTCCACCCACCTCGTCAATTTTGAGAAATTCTTTTTCTAGGGTTCTTCCTCTATTCGTAATCGAGAGTGACGAAGAGGAAAAGATGAGAACAAAATGAATTTGTTAGTGGGGCCTCCTCTTTTTTGCATATATTGATGTGCATAGTGATAAGTTAATTTTGCGGGCTGGGATGAACAAGCTACATTTTCTGTGTCTGACAATACAAAACATTCCCATATGCATGATGACTTGGATTACTGTGACACGCTTGCTGATTTTGAAACTGCACTCTCCATCATGAGTGCGGGTACTGACGATGCCCTTGAGCGTTGTATTTTGCTAGGTGAGCAGGCATCGTAGGAGCTACAGCTTGAGGAGAAGTTGGTCACACTGGAGCGTGGCGAGCTCCTGGAGGTCGAGAACCCGTTCAAGCCGATCTCATCCTCGACCCGCATCACCACCACTCCGGAGGAACCACCAGAACTGGAGCTGAAGCCCCTCCCTTCTCACTTGGAGTATGCATTTCTTCGGGAGGGGAACAAGCTTCCAGTCATCATCAGCTCGAACCTCACACCCGAGCAGAAGGCCAGACTGGTGGCCCTCTTAAAGCAGTACGAGCGGGCTATGGCATGGAAGATTACCGATATCCGGGGGTTCACCCCTTCTTTCTGTTCCCACCGAATATTGTTGGAGGATGAGATTCGGCCGGTGAGACAGCCCTAGTAGAGATTGACACCGAACCTGGAGTTTTTTGTTCGAGTGGAGATTATCAAATTGATGGTTGCGGGGATCGTCTTCATCATTTCTGATAGCGAGTGGGTCAGTCCCGCTCAGGTGGTGCCTAAGAAGGGTGGGACGACTGTGGTTCCCAATGAGAAGAATGATCTCATCTCGATGCTCAAGGTGACCGGGTACCGCGTCTGCATCGACTACCGTCACCTCAACGACGCCACCCGGAAGGATCACTTCCCTCTTCCATTCATTGACCAGATGCTCGAGAGGTTGGCGGGGTACGAGTTCTACTATTTTTTAGATGGAATTTCCGGGTATTTTCAGATTCCCATAGCACCGGAAGACCAGGCGAAGACCACCTTCACCTGCCCTTTCGGCACATTTGTGTACCAGAGGATCCCATTCGGGCTTTGCAACGCCCCAGCCACATTCCAGTGATTTATGCTCTCCATCTTCGATCGTATGGTTGGAGAAATCATGGAGGTGTTCATGGATGATTTCTCGGTTTATGGAGACTCATTCTCTCACTGTGTCCATAACTTGGAACTTGTCTTGAAAAGATGTGAGGAGACGAACCTGGCGCTGAGTTGGGAGAAGTGCCACTTCATGGTTCGCGAAGGCATAGTTCCGGGGCATAAGATCTCCAAGATGGGGATAGAGCTGGACAGAGCCAAGATCTAGACAATCAGCAAGCTGCCTCCTCCCACATATGTAAAGGCATCCATAGTTTCTTGGACCATGCGGGGTTCTATAGGCGATTCATAAAAGACTTCTCGAAGATCACCTTGCCCCTGACGAAGCTCCTTGAGAAGGATGCCCCCTTCTAGTTCACTGGCGCGTGCACAACATCATTCACGACCTTGAAGGAGAAGCTCACTCATGCTCCTATCATGGCCACTCCTGATTGGACCTTACCATTCGA